TGGAGAATATAGTGAATGGGGGAGAACTTCTTAATCCAACTCCATAATCTTGTGTTGTGTCAAACATGCCACATGTGGACGTGCACTGTCGTGGAGAAGAAAAACACCTTTCTGACTGATGAGTGAAGGGCTTGATTTAAACATTTCAGTTGCTGATTATAGAGGAGTTTGAAATGAATTACTCCTTTGATGTCCCACCAATTGCAAAGCATCACTTTCTGCGAATGGAGTCCAGGTTTAGGGGTCAGAAGTGATTTTTGTCTAGGACTGACCCATTGTTTTTGGCATTTAATATTCGTATAGAGAATCCATTTTCATCACTGGTGACAATTCTGTCCAAAAATGGTTCACGTGCATTACGAGCCAGAAGAGAAAAAGCAACGTTCACACATTGGAAACAATGATCATCGGAGAGTTCATGAGGCACCCATATACCTTTTTCCCATATTCCTTATGTATTTACATATTGTTTCGTGACAGACATGCAATTTCATGGCCATTTCATGAGTGTGTTGCCTTGGGTTAGACTCAACAAGCGTCTTCAGAGCATCAATATCAATTCCAACAGGTCGGCCCCTGCCATCACAGTTTTTTAAGGCTAAAGTCACCTGAACAAAATTTGCTGAACCATTGTTGACACTTACGAACATTCAAAACATTTCTGAAACTTCTCTGATATTCTTTGTGGCTATAGAGGCATTGTTCCCTTCTTGTATTCAAACAGCATTACATGCCAGATGTGTGTCTCATCGTGTGCCATCACTGTAAGGGATTAGAGTATACTAAACTTTACATGTAGGCTACACTAATGTGAGGTTTAGGTGGTTTGTTTAACTAATATACGTGATGTACGTTTTTTGGGGGGTGGTTAATCAGTGTTCCAAAACGTGACATTAATTTCTCAACATCCTAATACTTTATGATGTAGTGTGCAGGAGGAGGGTTCACATCATCTACACCAAAATAATACTACTGCCCTACTCTCTACTGAGTGAAATTGGTCACATTCAGGAGGAAGCCTCCAGGGTCCACTACCCCCGCAGTTAGGAACTGGTGAGTAGTACGGGCTCCTGTACTCCTTTAGCAAAGAGGGGAATGCATTGAGGAGCCCTGAGGAATGCAACACCTTAAAACAGTACAATGGGTGACTGTGAAACTCTATTTTTAAAAGCAGGCCAGTCCAAGTATATACAACCAGAACAAGTCGGATGAGCAGCTATCCCAACACTGTTTTACTCATGATAGTCCATGCGTAGGTATGGTCTAAATTGGGCCTTATTTAGGAAGCAATACACTGTGAGGAAACCTCCAGTGCCCTTATGGAATACCCCATCTCATCAGTGAGTGTTTCAGGCCCAAATGGCCGCACGGTGCAGATTTAAACCTAAGTATGTCCTGGTAAGCACCACATGCCACTCAGCAGGATCCTGAGAAGTAGAATAGGGCCTCTGAAAAGGTAAGATAGATAGAAAATGAACTTAACTAGTCAGAGTCAGTAAGAGGTATGAAGAATGGCAACAGAAAGCAACCAATATCCTAATAGAAAAGTGACAGCCAGATGGTCAAGATAATGAGCAATGAAAGTATGTGGGGTACTCCACACGTCACTCTGCACCATCTTCTCCAACGGACAATGGAAATGAGAGCCAGAGAGAGGAAAAGGTGTTTAATTTGGTGAGAGGAGACCTAAAAATCCCTGTCCAAAGACATATATGCTAGATATAAGCACCATCTCGGCCATCCTGTGAATGTAATGGGAGAAAGATCACAAGAAGAAGAGGAGTACCAAGGAATAAAGAGATGGGAGTGGGAACCACAAACAGAAACAGTGCAAGGCAAATAACAGTGAACCACCCAGACAGGTGAGAGAAGATGATCAGGATCAGAATGGGAATAAAGATGAACAATGGATGGAAGAGAGGTGTGGATGAATGTGCTGTCTCCCTCACATGCTGAAGACATTTTGGGGGATAAAGGAGAATATAAGAATAATGGAAAAGAACACAAAAAGCATCTATATCATATATATCCAACTACTGACAGCCACAAGCAGAATGAAGCAAGAAATAGTTTTTAAGCAAAAGATGGAACAAGAAACAAGAGGCTGAAGGATCAAAAAGATAGAGAGTAAGGGCATGGAGAACAGCATGCAGGTACCAATCAGAAAGGATGAAGGGAATAAAGAAAGCAAAAAGAAAAGAAAAGGGACAGTTGAGGAGAAGACACAACAAGAATGCAAAAACTGGAAAGTATTCAACAGTGCAGCTTTGTAACCAGCAATGGCCAATAGTGATAAGACTTGGTCAAACAGCCAAGTGAAAAACTCAGACAGGTGGGTAATAGAAGGGCAGGAAAGAGAGAAGCCAAGATGCAGAGATCAATGACAGACAATGTGCCACTTCTGATGATATACAAGGAGGGAGGAAGAACAAACAGAACAAGAAAGGAGGAAGGCTACACATGAAGAGTCTGAAGCATCTTGCAAAGGACCAGAAAAAATTGTGTGTGAAAACAGAGTGTGGAGACTGTTGGATGGGAGAGGGAGGGACATGGTTGAGACAGGGGGTATTGGGATAGAGGAAGAGAGGACTGTAGAAATTTCAAGAGTGGAGCTATGGCTGAGCTGGCCAATACAGAGCAATCAAGAGGACTCAACACAGAGTGGTCTGAATAAGGGAAAGTACATGTGGAAGAAGATTAACAGAATGGTAGGCATAAAGAAAAGGTTGGACCAGTCCTGGCTGAATGCATCCAGTTGCAGAACCAGTGACCTAAACAGGGTAAGTTTGGTATTGAGGTGAGTGTCCAAAGTATCCAAAAGGGGAGTGTCTAGCTGAGAGAATAGCCACTCGAGTACCAGGGGATTGAGGGATCACTCCATTGTCAGGTAGTGAGAGACGATCAGCAATAAGATTCAGGGCACCTGGGATATAACAAGCAATAAGACAGTTGTGCAATGAATGGGCCCAGAAAAAAAGATCTAGTGAGAATGAAACCAGGTGCCCCTTTGATGGTTGATATAAGAGATAAGAGTTGTTGGTGTGGGTCATTATGAGATGCCCAAAAACTGTCAAAAAAAAAAAAGATCCACAGCTTGACGTGCCTTCAACAATTCCAAGATTGATAAGAAGGATCGATTCGACTTCTGGCCAACAACTCAAAGTCTCTTCTGAGTCGAAATAAATTCCCAACTCCTTCAGGGAAGCATCTGTAAACAGATGAAAGCCCAGATGAGGAGGAGGAAGAACAACATTTGCTGAGGTATTTGCTTTGTCAAACCACTAGGTGAAGTCGACCTGTAGTGAAGAGGGAAGGTGAACAATGGAGGGTAAGGGATCCTGAGCAAGGTTCCACTGATCATGTAGAGTCCAGTGAAGATGATACATAGAAGCAAGCCCCAAAGGGATAAGGAATTCCATAGAACCCGAAGTCTCCAAAAGAGAGTGAGAGAACATCCTGCACAGTGAGAAAAGGAGAGGATATGGCACTCCATGTCTCACAAATGAAGAGTAGAAGGCTGGACCCTGCTGAGGTAGAATTAAAAAACACACCCAAATGAATGAGATACTGGGTGGGTGTCAGATGCAACTTCTCCAGTTTGACTAGCCAGCCCAGACATGCTGACTCCTAATGGAGGAGAAGGGTGTGGTTTTATGAGGCTTGTTACAACAGAGCCAAAAGTTGCCAGTCAGTCATCCATGTAATGGTGAAACTTCCTTCCCAGGTCATGAATGTGAAGAGCAAAAGCTCAGACCACCCGACTGAAAACATAGAGAGACAAGACACGGCTGAATGGAAGAGCATGGAATTGACACACCAGACCTCAATGAACAAATCAAAGGTAACACCTGGATGCAGGGGGATTAGGAATGTGAAGGTAAGTATCCGAGACTTCGACCTTGGTCATCCATAGACTGGAAGTAAAAGATCACCTGAGGGCAAGAATGCACTCCATGATAAAATTAGGGAGGAAAATGAAGTGATTGAGAATCGAAAGATCAATCCCAGATGCCAATACCCTGTTTTCTTGGGGAAGACATACAGACAGGAATAAAAACCCAGAGAAGGAAAACAAACCTGTTCTATAGCATCCTTCTGCTTGAGATCCAAATATTCACTTCCGACAGATGCTGGTAACAAACTAGATCATCAGGAGGAGGGAAAAGAATGGGAGGCAAAGGAAGAGGGGAGGAAAAATGATGATCCCATATCCCTGACAACATCGAAAAGATCCAATAATCTGCTACAAACAGGTTCCACAAGTGAGCAAACTGGGCCCACCATGTCCCTACAGGACTTGAACCCAAGGGATAGTCATTATCAATTTTGATGGTGAAGAAAACGATTGTGAGAGTATGAATGTATTGGAGAAGAAACATGGGAAGGGGGAACAGGGAGAGAAGAGGAAGCAGGAGGATGGGAATACAAGTGCAATTGAAGATTGCAAAACATGGGAAACCAAAGAAATATGGAGGAGTGTTGGCATACAGCCTCCACACGAGATTACAACAAATTGGGATTCACTCCACCCCCCAAAAAGACTGGCAAAGGAAAGGTGCCAGTCTAAAGTCATGTAGATAGGAAGCAGACAAATATTCCTGAGATGGAAAGCCATTCCTACTTAATAGATCTCAACAAATAAGCAACCACATACAGAGAGACAAAGCAGAAGATAAATGCACCAACATAGAAAAGACAAGAGAACAAGTATCTGCCATGAACTAGCAAGTCCATAATGTGGAAAGGAACAGGGGAAAAAATAACCAAAAGCCTTCCACAAACTAAGTAAAGACAACAGAAAAATAGTTGTCAAAAAGTGAAATGTTAACCACTGGCACAAGTAAACACTTTACATCTGTACATGTGAGTGCTAAATCGAGAAGTGATTATTGTACAATAAGTATAGAGGGAGCCAGCTGCCCTAGGAAAATGTGTTGAAAACACTACCATTGGTAGAGGGTTGTTGCATGCTACAGTGCTGCAATACCATGTGGAAACACACGAGTTTAGGTGGGAGCCTCAAGGCTAGTGGTGAGCAAAAGTTAAACAGATATAGGGCAACACAAAATCAAGGGAAGCTATTATGCGAGTAGAGGCAAGGTATCATATCAGAACAATATATATTTAAAACACTAGCACATTTGTTACCTGTAAAACAACTAGGTAATCTTTTCATTCACTGAAGCAAGAAGATATGCATGAGTAGCCACGAATTACAGAATACTGTTTGGCATTATTCACTATATAGACATACATACATACATATATATATATATATATATATATAGACACAAACACACACCCAGGTGTAAGTTTCACCTTCTTCATTAAGTTCTCTCATGTATTTCATTTGCTGACATCTTAACTTATTACAATCATATAAACATGGAAAAAGTTAACTTTCAGACATTGTAGAAGTAATAATAATATGAAATTTCAAGCAGACATGTTAAAAATGTACTACAAGGGCAAGGACAAATACAGAATACAAATAAAAATGGTGCTCATATGTAAATATTATTTACTGGACAATGGTTCTGGTCTGAAGTTTGTAGGTCTAAAAACTGAGGCACATTTGGTAATTTTTTTTCTACCGTGTAAAATTTCTAGCAGATACACAAGACATTTTCATGTAAAGACAAAAAGGATATAACAAGAACAAGTACAAACAAAGTACACAGCTAACAATAGCAATAACATTTATTTGATAAAATGTTTCTTGTTGAAATGGATCAAGATGTGAAAATTTTCACTTATAATTGTAAGTTTCTGTTGAAAACTCAGCATACATATTGAAACAAAATCAACATTTGGAAATGGTAGAGGTACAGAGTTCAAATAGTTATTGAGATAAACATGTCTCAGCCAAGTTTACTAAGCTTTTGAATGTAAACTATCACAGGATTTGAGTAAAAGATAATAAAGAATAAGTTTACAGATTTAGATGAAAACTTTTTTCTAGTTTTATTTTGTGCAACATTTCAGGCAGTAAAGATCATGATGCAATGGAATTAGGCTCAGAAAAAGTTTCATTGAAAAGTAAGAAAATACAAAGGTTCTAATTACAAACATCCCACAAAATTAAACTAGAAAAAGTTTTCACTTAGATGAGTCAAATTATTCTTTATTATTTTTTAGCCAAGTTTTTCTTCTCATGTCTTGCAGAACAACACTCATTCAAGAAATTTTATCACAGGATTTAATCACACATTGTTTATCATTTCTACTGTACAGAAGACTTGAACTAAAAAACTTCTCTTAGTTGGGAGGAGGAGAAGATAATTACTTACATATCTTTTGTCTATGTCTAGAAGAAGACTTTGAAGATCAATCGTTTTGTTCATTTTGATATATTCATGGATCCTAAAACACAAATGTTCAACCTTGTCACACAATATTGAAGAAGGAACCTTTATTTATTAATTCAAACTGGTTCAAAACAGGAAGAATTGTAAAAAATCCAAACCAAATTCTCTTGATTTAAGTTATCATAAACTTTAGTCAAATTATACAAATGTAATTTGTAAACATTCTACTTCTCATAAACAAGACACCCATTCTATACGAGACAAAACAAATCTGTGATATTATGTGCAGAAGACAATGGACTATTCAGTTCTTTGAGGCTGTCCTTTAACACATATCTCTTGAGAAAAGCAAATATTTAATTTGCCATGCTAATTTTTCAAGAAATTGTCGACTCTCTTCTTCATCTAAAATATCCTGGTGTATCAATTCAATGCACCTGTTGTATGGTTTGTTTTATTGCATTGTAATACAATTACTGGCTGGAACTTGAAATAAACTTACTACAGATTATGTATCTTCTATGCAATAAAATATTATTAAATGTGATACTTGTACAAATTCACTTGAGAAATTCTAAGAAATTTCATTGTGATATGTCTTTTTTAAGAAACAAAAATGCTTACGTTTGTTGAAGAATTCAATTACTGGTTTTTTGTATTCTATGGAACAGTAAATTTTATCTTTCTTTGACTGGGAAAACATCACCAGTGTACTTCACTCTTAGGACAGATTATATCTAGAGGTTATGTCCTTCCCTATGTTAAAGTGAAATGACCAGTTATGTGGTAGCACCAGTCACTATGGGTAAATCTGACATTTCCAGTTAAGTTTGTTTGTTTTGAATTTCATGCAAAGTTACACTAGGGCTACCTATGCTAGCCATCCCTAATTTAGTAATAATAGACTAAAAGGAAGGTAGCTAGTCAAAACAATCAATCACCAACTCTTGGGCTACTCTGTTAGCAATGAATAGTGGGATTGAACATCAAATTATAACACCACCATGGCTGAAATGGTGAGCATATTCAGTGTGACAGGGATTCAAACTCATGACCTGCAGATTGCAAGTTGAGCAACTAAACCACCAGGCCAATCGTTAAATAAGAAATGTTAGATTTAAACAATTTATGCAGGATCGCAAGTGAGTTGATTGATGGAAGAACATCAGTTCATCAATTTATGATTGAAAATTAAAAGAATCTTAACTTTTAATAAATAAACTTAGTATTCTGAAAATTGTTTAATCTCGAAGTCTAAGTTCAAGGGAGGTCCAGTTCAATATACACTTTGATCAATGTGTGTTTATTTACTATACCTGCTATTGTGCGGTTATATAATGTGAAAAACTGAATAGTGGCCAATGACACTTTTTCTTCACTTCACCTATCCAGTGTACAGGTTTTTCTCATAGTGAATATAAGGCACTTTCACACCAAAAATATGTTTGAATCTTTACTTCTGTCAGAAATAAAATACACTCTGTGTACTTTCACTGGAACACTTGATACAGTAGGGTAGACAAGTCACCAACTTGAGAAAGTTTACAGTTAAAATAAAGAATTGACTCGAAGACTGAGATTGAAAACACATACAATATTTTTAATACAAAATATTCAAATATTCATTTACATTGAAATTACCAAAAGAATCTTGACAATCTTCTATATTAAAGGAATCAAATTCTTCATTCTGAGCTAGCAATTGCTCATTAATCAAGCCTTCAATAATATCCATCAAATCTCTTACTATAACAAATAGATTATCAATTAAAACATCATGTGAAATATACTCAGATATAATTTAATTTGCAAGTTCTCCTTAACATTAGACATTTTACATCAGTTCCTAATTACACTATTTGATTAGAGAGAGTAGCAATAATTATTTACATAGAAGTTGTATGTTGTAAATTTTCTACAGATTGGAGGACTGCCGTTCTTCTGGTTACCTATGTGGTATCTCTTGTCATCTATATCATCTTTGGAGAATTGATTATTGGTCCAAAAACATGACTTTTTATCCACATTTCTGTGTGTTCTTACGTGCATTCAATTTTCTCTACATGCTTACTTTGTAAGTAGGTCCTCTATATAATTGGTACATTTCATTGTTTTATCAATCCAAAACCAAAACTAATTGTTAATTGGTTATGGTAAAGAGCTGTTAATCCACAGCTTATGTGCATGTGTTTCTCCTTGTCTCTCTTCTGATCAGTTTCGCTGGTGAGGTTTTTACAGAATTCATTTCCTCTAGTTAGTGTTAATAATATGAACTTTCTGCAGCCTTTTTCTATGTTCGCATCTGTTTATGTTGATAAGACAAACTGCTGGTTTATACTGCAGCTTGGAATGCATAACAGTATTTGTTTAACATATACATTTCCTTTTTTAGTCAACCGTTTCAATGTAGTTTACATTAGACATTCACTGGTATGCATGTCTTTTCTTTGCTTGACATGTATGTGTGTCATACATGAATATTCATAAAATCATAATCTTTGTCCACTGAAGCATTTCTATTGTTTGCTTGTTGGTTTCTGAATTTCACGCAAAGCTACACGAGGGCTATCTGCACTAGCTATCCCTAATTTAACAGTGAAAGACTAGAGGGAAGGCAGTTAGTCATCACCATCCACCACTGTCTCTTGGGCTACTCTTTTACCAATGAATAGTGGAATTGACCATCACATGGCTAAAAGGGCGACCATGTTTGGTGTGACAGGAATTTGAACCCGCGACCCTCAGATTGTGAGTCGAGCACCCTAACCACCTGGCCATGCCAGGCCCTGAAGCATTTGTACTTCTCCCAAAAAATGTCTTAAATGCTTCATTAAGTTCAGACTTACTTTGTAATGTATCCTGCTGATCCTCTCATTATAAAGTGGGACTACTTAACACTCTTTACTGAAATCAGTTTAATCTGAGAATACCATAGAGTAGGTAGGAAAAAAAAACAGTGCCATGAGCACAGAATTATATTGTGGAGTTATTTATTTATTTTTGCTAATGTGCATATTACCCTTACTTGAACTCTTGAGTTAATGAGCTTAATGGTTTAAATTTTTACTTTTCCCAAGAGTGGATGTGCATGGACAGCTTTGAAGGGTCAAAAAGTCCTTTGTTGTCCTTATGCTAAGTATTAACATATACTGGTTTTATACATTGGTCCATATATGTAGACAAACACACATACTTCACATTTTTTGAATTTTTTAAAACATCAATCCAGTTTTTGAAGATATTCACTTGTACATTAAGATGCAACCACATACTTCACTAAATAAATATACTACATCTGAGGTTTTTCCATTGCACATAGTCATGTAGCACAAAGCCAGTTTGTCACAAAAGTTTATAGTACAGGAAGACAATATGAATTAATATTCATTTCTCAATACATCTCTCAAGCTATAGTGTGTTGTTTGATTAGATACTGAAAATCTAAACTTTACTGATGTATATATAAAACAGACTTAAACTCTGCTCACTACACTACTTAGTTGTCACAAAAATACTACATCTTATAACAGCAACATTTCAAAAACTTTGACAGTTGGAAAGGAGACTGTTTGCCCCTGTGGAAAATGGAAATCCACAATAGTTGTTTCTGTTCATCTGCAAAACAGCCAATTTGAATGTCATTGGTTTTTAATGTTTTTCATCATGAAAAATTACATCATAATATGTAAAACCAGTAGAGACTGTGTCCAATAATACATGGTTCAGATGGGATTTTTTAAGTGTCATTGAAATGATTGAAGTATTACATTGTTAATAAAGCTACCAGCAGTGATAACATGCTAACAAAAATTCTGTACATGAATGCAAACTCCAAGACATGCAAGTTTGTGTAATGTAATCAAAATGTTAACACAAATAAAACAACCATTCCATATATATGAACCTAAAATTGCGTGCCATTATGTACAACCAGTAACAAGTCTAGTTTAGTTTTTATTTGCATATACTTAATAGGTTTTATTATAAAATAAAGAGTTCAAAGCCGTTCAATTTCAGAGCTAGATCTAACACTGCAGGTTTTTCTATACTGCAGTGGAGTAAATGATAATATAAATGAATACATGTATTTGTTCACATTAGGTACCAAATTCAGCACCATAACCATAGGTTCAGCTACATCAACAAGAGGGAATGTCAAACTCAATGAAGCATTATAATATGTCTATGTATAAAAGCAGTATGGTGTACAATTTAAATAATAGTTTCTTACCTTGGAGTGCCTATAGAAAGGATTCTTGTAAAGCCGAGAGATTTAACTGTAGAGACCACAAAAGCAACAGTCTTCTCATCAAAGAAATATTGCTGAAGAAAACAAACATCCAATAAGAGAATAACTGAAACATTTACCACTCTCATCATGTAGTTGTTATAATGAAACACCAAAATACATTACTCCTCATGGTATATATATATATAGAGAACAAGAGGTTGTGTGTATTATTTTGTATTTACTTATAACTCTCAAGAAATAGTTAATGGGAAAGATTGTTTTTTGTTGCTTTTCATTTAATTTATCTAGTAAAAGTGTCAAAGATCAAATGTTTTAGATCTTTTGATAAACATTTTTTAACATATTTTATATATTGCAGCATCTTCATTTATAAAAAAGAAACACTATACTTGTTATGGCAAGGTTTCTTCTAATAATGTTTTATTTGAAACCCAGTACAGTCAACATGATAACTTGGGTGTTTCAGTGATGAAACATGGAGTGAATGAAAACTTTTTTTACATAGTTTACTCAGATTTTTATTGTAATATTATTCATAAAGTTATTGTAGTTCTTTTCCACTAATGTTTATTCTTTGGACAGCAACATTTATTTAGTGATTTTCAAATTATAGCTTAATGATACATCATCATACACCTTATGTCATACACATAATTTTGTTTAAAATTTCTAGTCTGTTCCAAACATGACAAATTATGCTTTACAAATATAAACTGTGTAATAACTTACTTAGTATAATTAATTTTCTACTAAAACAAAACATGTATATGTGTAGATCATTTAGCTTCAATATTTTTTCCAATATTTTGTGTAACTTACATGTACTATACATATTTAAAACAATGCTTCTATTATTTGCTAAAGTTTCTGTACAATATAACATATAAAAATATACTTAACTGCTTCTTTCTTGTTTTTTGATAATGAAGGCAGCAAGTAACTTGGTTGTTTGAGTATATTATCAGAAAGGCCTTCTAAAATTTCATGATCTTTATGTTCACCAAAATCTTCAGGTAACACCAGTAAAAAACATGTTTTACAAAATCTTCTTATATGACAAGGCAGAGATAATAATCTTTTTAGTTGCTTATGTATGGTTTTTGATGAAAAATTTAAGTTTTTTGAATTTTCAGCATGCTTCTTCTTCTTCTGTTGAACATGATAAGTAATTTGTTCATCAGCCCATTGGAAAAAAAGGACAGTCATTCCTGTCACGACATGATGAACAAGCAAAGAATTTTCTTCCTGTTCTTTTTCCTTCAACCGTGAAGCGTTCAAAAAGAAGTGTAGGACCTAAATATTGAAATTTTATATCACATTCTGAAAGGGTAATACTTCATAAATACCTATATTAGAAACCTCAACACACTTTGAACTAATAATCTCAAAATTATATTCACATAAAAATAGCTTCAAAAAATGGCAAAATATTATGTTAATTATTAATAGCAAATTCTGAATGAAAGTAAATAAGTTAATAATAATATTCAAACACTAAATCATCAGTAAATGTTGACTGTTTGACATTACACAAAAATAGATAAATAAATGAATGAATGGTTATATATTAGAAATCTTATCTAAAGTTGCTAAGCTTACAATATTTTGAACTAAATAAACATACAATGACATGTAAATACTCCATAGAAAGCTTGCATTTTAAAATACAGAGATAAGATTTCTAATATATAACCATTCATTTATTTATCTATTTTGTGTAATGTCAAACAGTCAACATTAGCCAAATTGACTAGACCATATATTAACCACTAGTTTTCTTTTGAACAAGCACACCTTCTCTTGATTTTCCTTACCATGCAAACACTTGGGATGGCTTTCTTCAACACTTGGTATAAAATCAATACTTTGATTTTCCATGTCAAAAAATAAAAATCTAGAGTATATTTATCAATTTAATATCATTATGGTAAAATATGAGGTTACTAGACTTAACTTACTACCCCCCCCCCCCCTTCTGCGTACTCATTAAGCGCTACCTCTTGTTTGAGTAACAATAAAGATAAAAATACGTAAAGTAATATTAGCACTAAATAACAATATTTTGTAAATTATGTTGTGTCTCAGTTCTTCTTCAACGTTAACACTTTCAAGTGATATATTTCGTTTCTTTTGTATAACATAGCTATAAAGATAAAAGTACGTAAAGTAATATTTGCGCTAAATAACAATATTTTGTAAATTATGTTATGTCCCACTTCTTTAACAACTTTAACCCTTTTTAAGTGATATATTTCGTTTCTTTTGTATAACAAAACTTACAAGATTGTTTTCAAACAATGGCAGATGTTTAACACAATAGAAATATGTATTGAAGCAATTAAGCAGTCTTTTACAATTCCTAGTAACAACAAAATTGATTTGACTAAATCAAAGCCAGTGCCAACAAAATAAAATTAACTTCACATCTTAGCAATAATCAAATACAATAACTAATTAAACGCAATTTTGCTTTTGGTAATGATAATTTCAATCTAAGCACGCTCTGTACTTTCAGTTTTGGACACATTGTAAAAGTAACTTGTTATTATTTGTTTGTTTTTTAGAGCAAAGCCAAATTGAACTATCTGCTGTGTCCACCGCGGGCAATCGAAACCCGGAATTTAGCGTTCTAAGTCGTTAAACTTACTGCTGTCCCACCTGTGGACATAAAAGTAACAGTCGACCCCATTATTCAGGTAAATAGTCCGGACCTGCCTTTCTGGCGGCGGGTGCTAGTGAATTTCTGCCTCAGTCTGATTAGTAGTTAAAAATTATAAACGGCTATATCTATCTATACAGTTCGTCGGAATCTTTTGCTGAATTACGGGATTGACTATTACTTTTATAACACATTCATAGGTGAAGATACAGGTGCACTGGTCTCTGGATCTGTTAATTCGCAGTTCAGTACTCTAACCATTAGGCTACACACAGCTTAATTTTAATTTTATTCCTAATAATACAAAAGCGATTGAATACCCATAACACATTCTGACGACCAAACTTCGACAATATTTATTCCATTACGAGCACATATTTGTGAAATCGAACAATGTGAATTCAGTATCGATCATTAAGATTATCTTTGTTCAAGACCTCGAATTATAATTTTTTATTGTTGTTGTTGAAAGAACACTTCCACTTTATCATACTTATAGATAGGATTTTAAGTCGTATTTACAGAAACACCGAATACAAGTCTAAAGCGATTATAATATAATTACGAAGGTTGTTGTTTAGGCCACATTTGGAGTATTGTGTTCTATCTTGAGTGCTTTACCTTAAGAAGAGCATTGAATTTTTGGAAAGGGCTCATAAAAGGGCTGCTATGATGAGGTGGAAGCTGTTGTGCTGATACTGGTTGAGATCTTTGAAATTGTTTTCTCTTGATAAAAAGAATAGTTGGAAGGAATATAGGCAAGGTGTTTAGGATTGTTGGGTTAACTAATAGAATTAATGCATCGTACTTTTATTTGTATTTAATGATGATGCCTGTAGAAATAAGGATATAAATGCGAATTTTGGCAGGGTTGGAGTTGTCTTTAGCTGGGAAGGCTTTACTTTTTTTTATCACGGTACTTGGCTTTTGCCTTCAAATGTGATAGAGCATTTAATTTGGCTTCTGCTTCACGTGGGGTTCATTTGCTCCATCAGGAACTGTCCTATTATCGGTAACAGTCACATCAGTGGTAGCAACTTCATTAAGGGCTTCACTGTTTCCCTTCTCACAACCGGATAGAGTTTCTTCTTCGACAGTGGATTTTCCAGGTGACACGTCTTAAGCAGCGCCATATGTTTCATTGTTCACTTAGTTCCAACTGAAATGACCTGGACCGTGATAACTCCAAAGCCTGTTGGCATGCGCCACCTTTGGTTTACCTCTCCGAACACATTTTATTCGGAAAGTCACGTCTGAGAGACGATCCACTATGTCATATGGGACTTCCCATGGAGAAGACAACTTAGGAGACTTCCCTTTGGTCCTCCTGGGATTATACAACCACGCCTTGTCTCCTGGTACAAAACTGACTTCAGTAGATCTCTTATCATAACATAGCTTCATGGAATCAGCAGACATTTTCAAGTTTGAATGCATTTAATGGTGAATATCATCCATCCTTGCAGATAACAATTTCATGAACTCTGACACATTTTCAGGCAACTCTTTATAAGGTGGGCGTCCTGTTATCAGATCTACTGGCAACCGAA